TTAACCAATGTTGAGGTATTGCCACACATTTCTTCACATTGCCACAAGGCCATTTACTGTTAAACTGATATATACTAACCTGGCATGATGCCTTGTGCCCATAGGAATGGAATATGGGTATGGCAACATCAACACCTTCCAAGAGGCTTTCCTGAGATGAACACTAATAAATATAATCATGTACATGTAAATGAAAATTGTGTCAGTAGTAATAAACTATTCTGAAGTTAAGATGTGATCCTCACAGATATTCATGCAATTTAAATGTAAGCAATAATGGGAATTTAACCAAACACAAAGAAGAAAAGAATCTGGCCCCACTGGGATTTGAGCCCATGACATTGTCATTGCAATGCTCTACCCACTGAACTATGAACCCCCATATGTTGGGAGCAAGCCAGTACCCATGAAAGGAAGTGATGAAACAGACAATGGAATTACGTCAGTTGCAAAAATGACATTTTATTTGATTAAGCCAATTGCTCAAAATTCAGTAAATAACTCTGATGATTACATCTTCATTTCCTTTCCACAATTCACATAATTCCAGTCTGTTTCAATATATTATTTTATTTCATCCCAAATTTAATAGAAAATACTTTGGACAATTCTACATAATTAAATACCACTTTAGATTACCATTTAGCCTCCTGCACATCCATGTTAAAAAAATTTAGTTACCTTCAAATGGTGTGCTAATAGACAAGCAATGTCATACATGATGATTACTCTGTTTCTGGTGCTCTCATTAAGACTTCTAAGCCTCTTAAGCTCATAAACAGAGTATGATATTCTGTAGAGAGAAAAGATTGTTGAAAAGGTGAATCAATAACCAATTTTTTCTTTTATATCTTTTTACACAAAACTAAGACAAATTGAACATATTTCCTATAATATGACATTCAAATTAATAACAAAGTTATACAATGGTGATGCTAATAGTGCAAAGAATCATAGGATGCACCTGTATTGTGTATACAAGTGTGCCAATTGTCAGCTTGACAAATTCATAATAATGGCTGTATCATGTAACTCTCTAACAGACAATACATATAGGATTGAGCACAACATTAGGTAAAATGTATTTACATACTCCATACCTTTCACCATGCTTTATGTCATGGAATCCTTTGGGAAAGTCATGTCTGCATACTCACCCAAAGACACCTTTCTCGTCAAAGAGTTTGTTTTTGCCTTTTGATCTTAAAGCTGAAAGAACCTCTCCAGCATGGAACTTACTGCAGTTCTGTGAAAAAAAAAGGGACAAAAACAGAAAATCTTGAATTTAAAGGGCCAAAAGGAAAATCATACAGTTTTCAAATTAACATTTATGCCATAATGTATGAGCATTGCATTATCTTAAGTACAGACCTGTTCCATGTCTGCTCCAGCTTTGCCATGACTGTTGACAAAATTGTCAACATCATCCTGGTCTGCTAATAGGAGTGTTCCATGTTTGGGTGTTCCTAAATTATGCCCTTTGTCCTTCTTTCTGCACAGTCCAAAGCACTCATCCATGCTTTCAATGAGAACACCATCATCCTGTTCAAAAGAGAGGGGAAAAGAGAAAAATAGATATAAAAAAGAACAGCAACAACAACATAAAATTAATACTGCAGAACTACAGCGCAAGCTACTATTCAGAACAAATTACAATGTATAGTTACCCTTGGACATTTTGGACACCAAGCTCCATTGTACAAACTTCCATTGTACTTTGTACAATGCCTGTACTGATACATGAAATACCTTCATGTGAAAACAACAAAATGTCAATCAGGACTTTCTTAAAGAAAGTCAGTAAATGTACATGTACAACAAGAAAGATGTTTTGTAAATTAATGTAAATGGAATCTTGACCTTAAAGCAAACAGTCAATGTATCTTTGAATCATATGAACACAAAAGCGACAAAAGCAAAGCATGAGTTTGAGATCGATATTAGCTGGGGGACTAGATAATAAATAAATGAATAAAATAATAATATAAATAAGCACTTGTAAATCATGTGACTATCTCTACTACTACTAATAATAATAATATTAATAATACTAATATAACAAGAACAACAACAATAATAATAGTAAAAATAATATTAATTCTAATATCAATAATACCTTAGAAGACATTGTACATCCACAAATTAGCAGCTCTGATATTCTTAACCTATGTGCAAACATACCTGAATTCTTCAAAGCATTCTGAATTAAGGATACTGTAAATTGAGCTCACCTTAAAAAAAAAAAACATACCATTCAACCAGAATCAATCAATTAAAAAAAGTCATGTCATGTCTCAAAAAGACTGTTTGCGAGCAAACCTACATGTGTTGGCTGTAGCTGAGGATTGAGTTCTGTGATCACTTCTGTGATGTTTAGCAGGGACACTTGACAATGAAGAAAGACCTTCTCCACAAACTCCATCAGTTTGAAGCTGAATCCTGTGGTGGGATTTGCTGGTGACCCTGGCCAGAACTGGCATTTCAAGAGTGTGACAGCATGCGGCTCACAATCACACACTTGTACATATTTGACGTGATGATTTCCTGACATTCATAGAAAAATAAATGAACAACTTAAGAAGTTAAGTAAACAAAATGAAAAAAAACATTACATACAGCTTTAAATACCTCTTACTTTGTTGAGGGCTGTATAGACACCTTATTAACCAAGTGCAAGGGCCATACTAAGAGAATATTGGCCCAAGGTCTTGACAGTACAAACCAAGTGCAGCGAGGTCTGTACAGAAAAGTCCAAGGCCAATATTCTCCCAGCATGACAGAAAAGGTTCTTACAGATAGATGCAAGCCAAGTTTATTGTTTCTCTTTGGCAAGCCATTAAAAAACTTAATTGCATGTGGGATCATTCAGGACATTACCCAGTCCAATACTTAGAAAATATTTGACAGGCAATGGAGCAATCTGATTGTTTGATTTTAGTTACTGGCACTGACATGTTGGGAGAATTTAAATCGTGTCATTATCATTAAGATCATTAGCGTTCTTGATTTTAGGCAAGCGGCAGGAAAATGTGAAAAAGGAACAGATAAAATTGAAAAAGAACGCTTCGTTTTTAAACCACTCTAGTATTCTCCAACCACTATAAATGAAATGAACTGACCTGAGGCATCCAGAAGTCTGAACAGCTTTACTGCTGCGGTTCTGCACGTATGGCCATAGCTAACAGTTGCCTCGTCTGCATACAAAGGAGAAAATACCCCATCCTATTAAAATAAAGAAAGCAAGAAGTAGATAAAAGTACAGTTTAACTAGATATGTTACACTAAAAGTAGCTAGAATACAACTGGCCCCAAAATATTCATACACACCTTCCATTGCTCAAGTACATGAAACTTGTTTCGATTGACATGTAGAGCTCGTGCACATCCAACACAAAAGTACTGGCGAGGGCCACAGTACTCACATCTTGTTGTAGCGATACTCTTTTGACAGTTCACACAGTTCACATTGTCTGGGAGATGCTGTTCTTCAATGTACGAATTCAGCAACTTTTCCCGTACCTTTTCCCAGTTAGCAGAGATACTCAAAACGCGATTTTGCTGTTGAGTTGAGAGTTCCTACTTATCGAGATCGCCAAGAGGGACATCTTGTTCTACTGGACTGTTGGTGTCCTGACTATTTTCCGGCTAAACTTCAGAATACCCCGCCACTTTGGTCCGCCTCACTTACATGTGTCGGGAGGCTTTAAAGATCGAGGCATAACGCAATAGACGCTATTCTTATTCAATGACATGTAAATGAGTTGCGGGGTATTCTGAAGTTGCTCCTCCATCGCGCCCAATATTCTTCACATCTAAGAAAACGGGCTTTAACCGACGCATTTCGTAGCGATCACCTTGGCTCGTCCACCGAAGAGTGAAGGATCAGATTGGTCGAAATGTTTATGCATATCTAATGAGCTACTGGGAAGACTTAGATGATCATTTAGGACCGCTTGAACCCAATGATCTAAATTTAGATTACGTGGGTGTTAGCCATTTAGATTGTGTAAGTAGGGTGGCTGAGAAGGAGAATTTGTTTAACAATCAAAAGCGTCTCTCGTTGGTTATCTTTTACCTTAGCCATGTGACCTTAATGTGTGATTCAGGGGTGATTTTGTAAAAAGAAATTAGATGCAAGTGACTCAATGGGTTAACAACGGTGTTGAACAAGTAGCTTTTATGTCACCTTGGTTTCCTAAAACATTCTGCTTCGCCAGGCTCAAGAAGATGTAGTCTCTAATCTAGTTAAAGTCTTAAATCGTCCCTTAAAATAGATTGCGCGCTATTTACAAATTTTTTGAGAATTTGACTAATGGACCGCACTTTCGATAGGTTTACAAGCGTAATAACCCACTTGAGATGTTGGTAGAACACGAGAAAAGTTGGTAAATCAAGAGCCCAAGGCAAGTGATTAACCAACTTTTCTTGTGTTCTCCCAACATCCCAAGTGGGTTATTACGCTTGTAAACCTGTAGAAAGTGCGGTCTATTGCTTTTATAAAATATACTTCAATTTTCTACGGTTTTATCTATGCAACAAATGATAACAACCAAGGCACTTGTAGTATGTCAGTAACTATATAAAGTTACGTAAAACATACAAATCATCAGGATAATTAAATGCTAGAGGCATATCCTTGGCTTTGATTAAACACTGTTGCGTAAGTTTATAACTTCTAGATCGTTTGAGTCCTACTCATTTTTACAGACACGTTCAGAGAAATACAGAGCACGATGCCGGCTTTAACAATCCTGTATCTTGAGTGCCCAGTGCACAACTACTGTACCATTAAATAATGCTAATGACACGTGCTGGCTCATGAGGACATCATTTTGGCAAACTCTGAAAGAGAAATAAATCAACTTGAGCGATGTGTTGGAAATAGAGTTTATACAAACTTTCTTTTAACTATTGGTAGTTCTTTTCAATGTTGCTAGTGACATTATCTTTTGTAATAATCGTGTAATTAAATTTTTAGTTGCAAAGAAATTATAAATAGACTATTTAGCTCTATTTGCCTCCATGTTGAGGGTCTGGTAAACAAGGTCAAAATATAAATTGGCTTGGAAACCTGCATAAACTTGTAATTTTATGAACCCCAAAAAACGAGACAGGGTTAGCCAGTTGTTATATCACACGTGCAAACAAAACTGTAAGGCAAAGAGAAAAAGTCGAAAAGATCAAACACCGATGAAACAATCGAACACTGGACATGAAAAAGGAGAGAACCAAAAAAATGGAAATTACCCTCTAGACAAATTTGTCTGTCGCCATTCAAATCAGCCGTCTAGATGATTTGTTTGACTTCTTCTTCGGTCAACTGATTACCAAGGTTCATCATGGTCCTCTTGAATTCTTCAGCACTTATAAACCCGTTGCCATCCATGTCCAACACTTTGAACATTTCTCGTATCTCTGCTTCTGTGTCTGTTTCTTTCATCCGGGTGTCCATCAGGTGGAGAAATTCTCTGAAGTCAATGATGCCATTTCCTCGAAGAGAAAAATGTAAATCTAGTTCAGTTTAAACTTACAAAAATAGACCGACCTACTTCTTTTCACCCCACTTCTGCATTCTTCGCCCTTCCACTCACAGATCTCATTAGTAATTCTCCCTAGTCTATGCAGTACAACTCTTATTATGTTAGTTTGGAGAATTTAGTATTGGATCAACTTATGCTGCCCTTTTTGACATTTTTCTTCATTCTCATCGCTTGTCCGCTTGAAATCCAATTGATATTGTAAAGAGAAGTTCTGTTTCGGTCTCTTATGGGAGTTGAAGAGCTAAGTAAAAGTCAGCCCGTTCTTAATTTAAATAATCATTGGTTGAGTAACAAGAAAATAGGCATCTAACATACTGAGAAGGTAAAACTTAGATACCGGTAAAGTCCAATTTTGTTTCTTAAAATTTTAAAGTAATGAGTTAAAATGTCAAGGTTTATTTTTCGCGGAAGATCTTAAAGAGAAGAAGGAAACGTTTTCGTGTCACGCAACGCTGTCATGATCTCTCAAAACCTTCCTACTTTCTACTTTCAGGATGTAAATGCCAATTCTCCGCACTCTCAACCATACAGTTTTTTTATGGTATTAGCTCTGGCTATCTAATGTTGATTAAAACAATATCCCCGAGTTGATGATATCCCTACTTCTCATAATCTACTTGAAATTCTATTGATATATCGTAAGGAGAAATGTATCCTTAGTCAATCACGGGAGTGAAAGCTTTATGACATTTGGCGATCCAGGGATTTTCCCGTTCTGGTCCATGTATGTCTTAAGAAATAAACCTTTGCATAGATGCTGTTCAGTCCGAAGGTTTCTCTTTCCAACGAGCTAACAATTTTTCCCCCGTCTAATATATACAGTCATAATTTATAAGATATTCTGAAATTGATAAGGGCTTTACAAATAGTTCGTTATCTTAGCCTTTTAAAAATCTAGTTTTTATTTTGATAATTGTTGATATCTCAGCGACAATATTTTTCCTAGAATCTCATCTCATTCGAATCCGATGTCCTTTAATACTGAACTGATGACGATAAAACAAATCGTCTTGCTTTTCTCTCAGGCAAAGGATAGACAGTGACACAGCAACCCTAAATGATAAATGGAAATTACATCAAAATTCTTTTTGGCAGAGTTCAACGAAGTCTATATTTAGAATCAGTCATGAATTCTTTATGTCACTGCGAGGTCAAATTTCGGATACTCTTTCAAGATACCTTTTTCTCATTTGTTTCCGAGAATTATTACACGGTATTCGACCTGTCGCGGTCGAGATTTTGAAGCTTTGTTTGCCATTAAATCTCATCTGATCTTGCCTCCACTAGCCGGCTTAACTGGCGATTTTGTGTGCGAAAATTACTATTTTCCGTCTCAAACCTCTCGCGGCCCCGCCGCCTAACATTCAAAGCTCTCACAACCGCGAGTTACATGTACACAGGCACTCGCAGGCATGTCTCCATAGCGACTCGACGAGCAGTTCTCCAGAGTTTGTATATCATCGACAACAATACTGATGATTGCCAAGGATGCTTTAGCTGTTGAAGGGTGTTTGTTGGCTTCGCTGGGCGAGAAATTTTGATGAGTCCTTTTTCGTCTTAGTAATACAAGCCTGAATTTTTGGCGATTCTCAGAATTTTAATAATCAATAGCATGCTGTGTTTCCTCGCAAAATAAATACGCCATTGAAATTCAATCGGCCGTCAATAGCCTATTGTTTGTAATGCCTAAAAGAGCCAATGAGGATCACCGTTCATACGCATGACCAATTAGACACATATACCGTTGATATTATACCGTTGGGCTGCGAAGAGGTTCTCGAAGAGCAGATGACTCAATCTATACCTTCATCTATATAGAAGCGCAGCCGATAGACAATAATTCTGAACAAAGTGAGTCGAGCAAAGTGCCCTGTTTTTTCAGTAAACTACTCAAAGGAAACACATTCTTTGTGTTGACGTCTAGCAGAGAATAATTGTTGGCAGGTATGTCTTTCTAATATGTTCTATGCCTTATATCTAGGTTTCCACATGATCTCATTCCTGGCTTCAATTAGGAATTTTGCAGCTTTTCTCCTACCTAGAATACAGTTGAATACGCTCTTACTATTCAGTGCAAGTTTAGAAGATCAGTAGAGTCCATGCGATCCGACTCAAATTCTGGGAAATGGCTTACCTGATACAGCGAACACCGCGTGTGTAACAACGGAAATATGTTTACATCTCCCGTTGATTAGGTGAAGCGCCATAGGTAAAGATCGTTAAAAACTACCCGCATAGGAGAGTTTGCTGCACTAATTGCATGTTGTGAAAGGGTCAAAATTTCTTTGTCACTCAATTGCCAGAGGGAGCAAGAGAGCAGGAAGCGAAATTTTGTCGTAATTAACGTCTGAAAATATTCTTTCTCGGAAATAACGCAACCACGTAGTAGTCGGAATGCCGTAGGGCTACCTCGATCGATTTATTATCGGACTGAAAATATAGGAATTCCTAGAAAAGGTGTCGCTATATCCGATAAAAGATGCTTATAATGCGACGGGCTATATTTCCAGTGCAGTGTTCCATGGAACATTTTGCCTTTACCATTGCTTGCAAATTTGAAATAATCTAAGCGGGTTTGCATGAACAGTATGTGACTGCTAACCGACAGTTCAGTAAGCGTGCCATTGTCTCGTGATATTGAGCGATCCACTAAGAGAGTAAGCTGTTTTTCTAGGAAAGCAGGGTTATGGTAAGCTTAAATCAAGTCTACAATTCATACTAAGGCGGGCTTGAGTAAGCTATATCGAAATCTGTCGAGAAATTGACGGTAATTATTCTGACATTTTGACTAATCTATTGAGCCGAAGCAAAAGTTTTTTTTAAGCCCGGATAAAGTCCATTGCAGCCTTACCAGAGATCTTTAGCATAACGATGTTAAGTTATATTAGAGATATAAGCGTAAATGTTCGAAGTTCTTGGTCTGAATCGTTTTAATAACAGTATAGTAAATAGGCTGAATTTTGTGAGAAAACGACCTGTGTGTACAGGGCAGTGACAGAAGGCTGTGTGAGGCAAATAAATTACTTTCGAGGCTGTGACCTTGCGCTCACAATTCCGGATGTGATGTTGAAAACACAGTTCAATGGTATTTATATCGTTGTGTTTGAAAGGAAGTTATAAACTTCGATTTTCATATAGATTTCATAGCTAAGTGTAGTGAAGCGTTATATGTTTTTTTTTCTCTCATATGTAAAGGAAAATATAAGAATTAGATCTCTTAGAGGAAATATATGGAAGGTACATAAATTTTCCTATCAGGTAAAAAATGATGAACGAAGAAGGTTCAGAAGTCTCTCCAGTCACAATAACGAAAATTACTCCACCTCTGCATGATAAAATTTTACTTTACCCTAAGCTTATGCAAGAGAAAATGTCCCATTATTTTCTCTTGGCTCATGAAAAAAAATGAACAAATTAAAGTTTGCAGAGTTTCTCCGTTCCTGAGGCAGCCAGGAACTACTTGAGTTATTGACACACGGAAAGCTCCAAACAATTGAACTTCATTGAATGGGACAATGTCTGATATATTTTTACAAGGCTATCAGCCAGTTGCGATTGAAAAGATTGATCGTTTTCGTCTGTCAACGTGGAATGGTATTTTGAACGTCAACTCTTCTATTTTGCTACTATTTATTCAGCATTTTGTCTGTTTTATAATCAAGACCTTAGCAAAAATGTTAGTGACATGAAGCTAGGTAAGGAGAAAGTATACTATGACAGTATTTTGAGTTTTGGATCAAGTAACGTTAGTTCGACTGTAGAGCGAGATACTTATCTGAGTACTGACAATGGGATGATATTGAGTAAAATCTTAGTGAGAGTTCAAATGTTATTCATATTCTCAGTGACAATACACAACTGCCCGTGCTCCTTAAAAGCAAGACATCAATGTTTCGACGTGCGTAGCCATGGCGAGTCCTCCAACATCACCCCTTGCCACTTCCATAGAAAAGACCAATGGTCTGAAGTTATGGAATCTTGTTACTAATGGGGGAGCAGCAGCATTAAGGATCCTCCTGAATAAATCTCACTCCCCTCAACCATTAGCTACTTGGCTCGGTCAACATAAACAAACACTCTCAAGTCTCAAACATAGGGCACTTAAAGATGTTCAGTGGCGAAAGCTCTTTCCGTCTGATGGAACGCAACCAGACTGTGAGTCATTTGACATAACACTGCTTGGGATCCTTTTAATCAACATTTGTGGTTTGTCTCCTCCCAACACCGGATGGAACGACAAGCCTCCTCGAAGCGACAGGTCAACAGAAGCAAATATTGCTCGCATCAGGTGTTTTCGAAATCTGCTCAGTCATCCTCCGTCAACTGGAGTTACCACGCAAAACTTCAACTCCTACTGGGAGGAAATTGCTGATGCTTTGGTTGCCCTCGGACTAGATCGGAATGAAATAGATGCCTTAAAGAAAGAGGAAGAGTTAGAGAAACTGGCACGTTTTGATTTTACAGGAGAAATAAACGATTACCATGATAAATTTCAAGACAGAACGCGTGAGTGGATCTTCAATGAGGTCAAAAATTGGTTAGATCACAGGAGGTCGCCGCACCGTGCAATGCTGATCACTGCAGTTGCCGGAATGGGAAAGTCCGTCGCCAGTGCAGTCATTTGCAAGAGAATGCAAAAGGAAGACAGGCCAATAGGGTGTCATTTTTGTCAACACAGCTGTGACTTCTACCGTGATCCGAAACGAATGCTTCAATCACTGGCCTACCAATTAAGCTCAAAATTGCCAGAATACAAAGCAGCCCTCGTAAAGCAGCTCTCCAGTGACTGCAGCAAAGAGTTGAAAGATATGAGAGTGGAAGATCTCTTTGTGTGGCTGTTTAAGGAACCCCTTTCCGCTGTGGCAGACCCTGGCAGAAACGTCCTCGTGATAATAGATGCCCTGGACGAAAGTGAACTCGATGGACGCAATGAGTTACTTGATGTCATCGCCAATTACTTATCAAAATTGCCGCTTTGGATAAGATTTCTTATTACCGCAAGACCAGAGAAAAACATTTCAGACAAACTAAGAAATCTGAAGATTTTCAAGTTGCAACAAGAGGATGAGCGGAATCGTGATGATATCAAAACTTTCTTTGAAAAGAAACTGAATTCTGACGTAACAAACCCAGACAGCCTCAGCGCAATTGTACAAGAGTTGGTTCATCTCTCGGATGGCTCGACGCTCTTCGCATACTTTTTAATACAAATGATCAATGACGGCGCATCACCAGTAAGTCCAGAGGAACTTCGTCGACAATTCCCACATGGCATTTCCTCAGTTTACCAGTCCTATTTTGAGCGAATGGAGAAAAGACTGAAGGAAGAATTGAAGGACAACTACGGCAGTTTTTTGACTGATTTTCTGAGTGCTTTGACTGTTTCTGTAGAACCTTTGCACAAAGATTTCATCGTGGACATACTGCTGCAAAACCGTAACACTTCAGAAAGTGATCCCTTGAGCGATCAGCGAAAACTTGAGGATGTTATTGGCTGTATTTCTTCTCTTTTCATTCTTCGAGACGACCATGTTCACATGTTCCACAAATCTATCAAGGATTGGTTAACAGACCCGTCCAATGGATTTTTCTTCGTAGAGGAGAAGGAAGGTCATAAGATTCTGTCTAAGTTGTGCGCTAAAGCACTTGAAATTTTGAAGGGACGTGGTGGACCGTCGACTCAAGCAAAGAAGAAATACGCCTTGCGACACTGTGTCAAGCACATGCTGGAAGCATGTGAGACTGAAAGCGCTCAAATGGAAGAATTAGTTCAAGGGTACGTGACAGATCTCGAACTCGTTTATGCCAAGCTACGTACAGAGGACACGGATGTGCTTAAGGATCTTGTTCTTGTGCAAGAACATCCGAATTCAAGGGAATTAAGCGAAGAAATCCACAATACAATTGAAAGCCTTTTACTACAATTCAAGAAAAACCCTAAGCTGCTTCGAGATAATCCTGGGATGATTTTCCAAAACCTACTCAATGAAGGAGGATCAGCACTTTATCAACAGGTGTCTGATACTCTTTTGAGGTCTCATCCAGAAATACCATATATGGAGCTGCTAGACAAAAATGGTCATCAAGGCCCTGTTGTTGGTCGATTTTTTTGCTCTGACAAAGTGGTTTGCTTTGATGTTTCCTCAGACGAAAAACTCTTGGTAAGCGAATGTCGTGATGGAACGACGTCGTTATGGTCGCTTGAGACTGGAAAGCGGCTATGGGAAAAAGCTTTATTAAAATCGATAAAGTCGTACAATGAAGTTCCTCTTGGAAGTGCTTTTCGACAGACGTGCGAAGATAATGAGACTGGGAAAAAGACGCTGTCGTTTTACCGTTCCACTGTCTTCCATCCAGACGGTTGTTCCATTTTGCCAGGAAACTTGGCCAAAGTTTACAGCTTAGATGGAGAACCGAAGTCACTCTTTCCAGGGAGCAAATGTCATTTCAATGTTTGCCATTTCTCACGTAACAAAACTAGGATGTTAACTGATTGTCCAGAAAACGCCCATCAAGTGGTCATGTGGAACACCACGAATGGTGAGGAGATCAAACGCTTCGAGAGCGAAGAAACCATAGCTTCTTTTGCTATTTCTCAAGATGGAAATCGTGTCGCGATCTGCAATACAAGTGGCTCACTCTGGTTACAAGCCGTTGAAGGTTCCAGCTGGAAGAAAGCACCTCCAAACATTTCTGGGGAAGGTAACCCTTGTGGACTGTTACATTTTACAGAAGCGGGAGCTCTTGTCTGTGGCAGTATCCAACATGAGCTGTCTGATCACCGAGACAAGTACAAACTTTCGGTGTCAGCGCTTCAGTCACAGTCATCTTGTGTCTTTCTGTGGCCGTGGGAATCGGATGATTCCTTTGATGGATTGAAAGCCGTTTGCAAGACATCCCATATCGTTTCTGCAGACTTGCAAATTGGATTTTGTCTCACGTTACTAAAAGATTTGGCAGTGGTCGGGAGTCCAACGGTTAATTACTTGACGATGCTTGATATTACTCATTCCCTCCAAGACAAAGAGATGCCACGCACAGCACAAGCTGCTTTTTCTGCAGTCAACGGTAGGACGCGCTTGTACACGACTGTCGCCATTTGCAACCATTCGGTAGAAATGGAAACGGATGAGCCACGCTTGGTGACATTTACTATGCGGGATGCAAACAATGCCAGGGAAGTGAAGCAGGAAAAGTCCTTCCAACACAGTTCACGTCGTGTCGAGAATGGGATAATGACTGTAACTGTCACATACAATGGTGAGA